AGTTCTTCCCCAACCGTCCGAGCGAAGAAACACCGTATATGGGCTACGGTTAACCTGAAGCTGATTTTGTGACTAGTTGAATCTCCAGTATCAAATGTGTGTACGATCCCTCCGGAAGTCCCACGGTGTGATTGATGCTCGCTGCACCCAGTAGGGCAAACAGATAATGATCCGTGCATACGTCCGCAGATCTGAGTAACTAATATACGGCTAGACAGACGTTATTCAGTGCAGTTAAAGACCTGCTGCTGACGCCCCCCTTAACGTTACTTGATTTTATTCTAATCGTGGTTCATTTTGGAAGCAAATTATATCACTGCTAAAACGCTTGGATTGTTTTCTCTAGGCGTCATTGTACTACATCTTGTTCTTCTACCATCTTGCAGGAATGACTAGAGATGACTTGTTCACATTCAATGCCTCCGTGATTGCCGAACTGTCTCTGGCCTGCGCAAAACATTGCCCAGAAGCAATGATCTGCGTGGTCACTAATCCTGTCAACAGCACTGTCCCAATTGCCGCCGAAATGTTTAAAAGATTGGGCGTTTATAATCCCAAGCGTCTGTTTGGCGTTACTACTTTGGATATCATCCGATCAAATACTTTTATTGCCCAAGCCAAGGTACGTCGTGTTTACTCCTAATCTATTTAGTACGTTAGGATTGAATTTTATCATTTATTTTTCCCGAAAGTATAGCAGTATTTTAAGATTCTTCTGCATGTAGGTTCAAATGTCTGCATTATGCAGTTTTATTCGCCTTAATCGATGGTTTCCAACCGCATCGAAAGTCATCTATTACCATGTTCGTCGTAACAAATACCTTTGAGCAGAGTTGCACTGGTTTCTTTATCCTCATTCACTGCCTTCGTGACGCATTGTGATCTTGTTTTCAGTTTACACAGTTTTCTGTGTACTGTACATGGTTGTTAGACTACCATCTACACTATGTAGCCGAAATAAATCAGATGTTTATGAGCAAACCAGTAACCACCCTTTATGACTTTTTCTGGCTGCCTTTAACAGTGACCAGGAACATTTGGTTGTTTAACTCTTGAATTTTCCGTGTTTAGTTCACAGTGCAAAGGACATTGTTGTTTGTTAGGTTTCACAGCGGAAAACTGCCATCGTTCATTCGCATTCGTAGGCTGCGGATTAGGTCGCGTAGTAACCATTTTTTAACAATATATGTAAATGATATGACAGAATTGTGCATTCTCCGAATCACTTTTGCCGGATTGGTTTGTAGATCGTGAAAACTTCCTTTTAAAACTGCGCCTGTCGACCCACATTTGTTTCAAATTACTGTTTGCATCTGCTACTAAATGCACATTTCAACTGCTTTCTCTAGAAGTGCAAAACGTTATGTAATGAAACGTAGATGTTATCACTGGTATCTAGATGTTTTCTCTGACCCCTTTCCAAAGTATCATTGTTTGATTGTCTTCTACCGTTTCAGGGTCTAGATGTGCGTAAAGTCAGTTGCCCTTGCATCTGCGGACACTCCGGAATATCAATAATTCCCGTCTTTTCGCAGTGCAGGCCTGAAGTCTCCTTCCCACCGGCAAGTTCTTGCATATATTTCTACATATTTGAGAGCTAGCACTTCTTAACGTTTTTATTGACATAAAACGTCTTTCTAGCTTTTATGTCTACTGTCATCATTGAGGTCTAGATCACTTTCACCAACATACCTGCATGTGATATAGCCTGTTACGCCCT